TAAAGCGGTTGCTTCAACCGGGTTGATCAAGCACTGGGGCCCGCCCCCCCTCCTCCCCCCGTCGGGCACACGAGCTGCTGCTGTACGTGTGTGAGTTGTTTTCTCGAGGCGCCCCACTGGGAATGAAACAAAGGGTATGTAGGCAGCTGAAGTGGGATCATGCGGAATCCTATTTAGACCTGCGGCCGTCTGTATGTTTCATGGTTGCACGCCGAGTGGAACAAGTCCACCGCGTCGACAACGAACATACTTTTTCGCGTTGCATGCCGAGTGGAATTCGTCCACCGCGCCCGCAACAGCTCCTCTGCCGCATGGAATGTGATTCCATTGTTCCGCCAAAAAGGGTGTGGAAAGGAAAGGGATTGAGAGGGTTTGCTGAGAGGAGAATGCAGGATTAAGGTCGACTGGGGCTCATGGCGTGCATCCGTGGGGGCATAGAGGGATGGTGCGGTTTGCTGATTGATCATGATTGATAGAAGTCTTTCTGCTCTCCGATGCTGCGAACCCTAGACCGTCGCCGCATCTTGCTAGAACCAAAGCGCGCGCAGCGCGCGCGTGGTTCTAGTATTAAATATATACACGTACAAACCCATGAGTAGATGTATAAGCATACACATAACGCTATGCCAGTGAGATCCGCAGCTCGGGGTCCTGTGAAGATAATAACGGTTGTCTGGGGATATTGATGGTGGGATGTCTGGATGGGTCTTGAATGGCCTCCTAGCTGATCTGGAGAAGCCTTCCCCCAGAGCCAACAGGTTCGCGGCGGTGGGTTTACAAAGCCAAGCGTGTTGTTTGAGAAAACATCGACAAGTTGCTGGTCGCGAACTCAACGGATCGTCAAGAACGTGCGTTTCGTTTGATACATCTTCACGAAATTGAGAACATATTGTTCGTGGTGCTCTTCATAATATGAAGATCAGAGCGGCGATGCGAACTTTGGGGGTGAGTATAAAGTTCGCCCACAATTAGCCACCCGCGCCTCTTGTGGCAATTTGAACCCAGATCGGGGGGGTGAAGGGGGGAATCGCCTTCATTATCCGCGGCACGCGGCTCTGAAAATACAAGTCGCGCCCAGAATTACGGATAAGAGTGAGGGGGTGGGCGCGGGGCGTGTCGCGGGTAGGTCGTGGGCGGGACGCGGGTTGGTCGCGGAGTGGGTCGCGAATGCGTCGCAGGGTGGGTCGCGGGTTGGTCGCGAATGGGTCGCGGGTGGGTCGCGGGCTGGGTCGCGGGTGGAACTACAACATCACAACAATCAAACCAACGACAACAACAACAAGAGCAGCAACAACAACAACAACAAAAATAAATCAACCAAACACAACAACAAAATCAACAACACCAACAGCCACAAACACATAAACACCAACACGAACAACACCAACACCAATAGCAACAACCACAACCATCACAACAAGAACTACGACAACAACAACAACCACCACCACCACCAACAACAACAATCAATTTAAGACTGCTCGCCCTTACAAATCTGCTCGAATGTCATTCAACGTGTAAATCCCAAACCCTCGATACCCGCTCTTTTCGTCTTCGATCGTGCCCTTTTCGGGGGGTCTATTTTTCTTCCGTGCAGACCCGGCCCAGGCAAGTGGCGGGCCGGCCGCGGACCGTCCGCCTGGCCAACGGCAGCGCTCATCGGCGGCAACCCGACCCAAGAGGGCCACCGGGAGCGCTCACGTCGCAACGGCTGGATTAGCCTCGTCGACACGGCTCGATTTGCTCCACTAGAGACGTCATGGGGCCGGTGTTTGAGGGGGAAGGAGGAGGAGGAGGTGGATGAGGAGGAGGAAAAGGAGGAGGAGGAGGAGGAGGAGGAGGAGGAGGAGGAGAGGAGGAGGAGAGGGAGGAGGAGGAGGCGGAGGAGGAGGACGACGACGGGACCGTCGCCGCGGGCTCCCAGGCCGCCCCTGGCACGCAGAGCGCGCCAGGGAGGCGCCAGTGCAGACCTCCGACTGGATCGGAACTGAGGTCGGCAGGCTTGAAGAAAAGACGACAAAGGTATGGAGCGGGAGCGTCGTTGTCTGCAGGGGGTGCTGTCTGCGGCGCCGAGGCGGGAGCGCTGGTCCTGAGAAACAAATAAGGATATATATATATATATATATATATATATATCCATACACACATATATATATGTGTATATACATATACGTATCTATATAGATAGCGGGAGCGCTGGTGTTGTCCGAAAACCTGCTGTCGGCGGCCAGCAAGAGCCCGGGTCCCGAGTAGGAAAGGATAACACATCGAGAGGGAACGTTGTTGCTGGTGGAGAGCGCCTGAGAGCGAGCAAAATGTTCAAAGGATATGCAGCCCGTGCCGAGGCGAGAGCGCCAGGGCGGACGCACGAGTAACTGTGTAACGATTAAGATTCAACAGTCCGAACTGCGGAACCCCACTTCAGCCACGCACCCAGGGGACAGTGAGTGACCGTTCGACCCCCTCCCTTTGATGACATCTAGAGTGAGAGAAAGAGAGAGAGAGAGAGAGAGATTCATTGGGATGGGGGTCAACCCTGGCTCATGTATTCGGCACCATCCTGGTAGTCAACGAATGTAGGCATCGCCCCTTCCCCCTACACACAACAAAAGCTGCGGCACTGTTGCATCGCCATGTTACTCCGCAAACTACTCGACACACAATATTGTAAGGTTAGTACATAAGGATACAAGTCCCTCTACCGTCCAAATGGCAAGGGTACCCTGACGGGCTGTCCAACAAAGAGACTGAGAACAACTCTGCGTTGAGACTTCCCACAACGCCAACCGGGTCCCTGAAAACTCTGACACCGAGGAGCTAACTTAAAACAGACAAACTGACGGTGAGGTCTGCCTGGATAGCCACAGCGTTTGCGATGTTAACGGAAACTGTGGTGCAACCCCGAAAAAACAACAATGACTCCTCGCATTCTACCAGCGTCCCTAAACCGACATGCATGGATCCCCAACGGATGACCTGCCATGCTGCACGGCCGGGTGTCACACTCGGCCTCAGCGATGGCATGACGTGTTCACGAATACTCGCGTTGGCTTCCAAGAAAAGCGGACAGCATCGTTTCACAATGCTTCCACCGAGCTGCGGCTGAGAGATTTGCTTGTATCAAGTGCTCTTGATTGCTCACTGCCCGCGGCGGTTGGGGACCCGCTTGGCAACGGCGTTTCTAAGTAATCCCAAGCGCTCCTGATGCCCCTGTCGGTTGGCGGGTCCTCTGGTCTGGGCGTTCCGAGAAGTTTCTGTGACCCCCGGTGGTCAGGGTCTGCTTGGCTCAGGGTGACCCAAGCTGCTTCCAAACTACTGGGTGTGCTTCTGCGTGCTGCCTCTGGTCCAGGCGGCCGCCACTGATGACATCTGGCGGGGAAGTCCGAGACAGCTTTGAGATGGCACAGGCTGCTTGCTGGCAGGCACGGTGACACACACAGACACAGACACAGACACAGACACAGACACAGACACAGACACAGACACAGACACACAGACACACAGACACAGACGCAGACGCACACACACACACACAAACACACACACACACACACACACACACACGCACACGCACACGCACACACACACACACATACACACACACAACGCGCCTGGCACAACTAATTCGCGTTGCAAGGTTTCCCAGGGGCGCTCCTCGGGTTGAGGACGTCTTCTCGGGGAATCGCACTGCAAAGCAACAAGTCGAGGATTAAAAAGTCCACGCTGATTTCTTGGATCGGCGCTGGACCCCCCCCCCTCCCTGGCGCACCTTAAGCGCCAAAGGCCGCGCTGGACGCGCCGCCAAGGGGCCCCAGCGCCGATCCAAGAACTCCGCTCATGTTCGTGCTAGTTGCTGTTCCTCGATCTCAGAGAATCACACAGCACGGCACTCAACATCTTACCACTGGATCTGTGCCAAACATACACAGACTCTGAACCAGCCCGGCAGCTGCATCACTGCGCACCTGATGCGCAGTGCGCGAGCGACACGGCAGCGAGGTGTGCGGCGCTGATCTCGCCAGGAGGCCTTCATGTGCCGGCCACCACAATACTGCTCACACACCCTAGCTTACGAGCGGCGAGCGTGGCCATATTAACGCCCTCGCGGTCTGGACTCCGAAGCGTGACCCCACGGATAATTAGGCGGCCGACCGGAAAGTTCCGCGCAGGGCATCTGCGAACAAAAACGCTCCGTAACTACCCGTGGGGTCGCGACCCAGGGGAGCCCTGCCCGCGAGGCCGCAGTTCGGACATGTTTCTCGCCCACGACGCTCTCCCTGTCTGGCTTGAAAGATGTACTGCACCCGCCCATGAATCCTAACATGTCGCCAGAATCTAGCCTTTGCACTGGGCACTCGACCGAGGACCACGAGCATACCTAATATTCGCGATCACCCATGTGACCTGCCCCAGCTCCACCCTCCCCCTTCCACCCTCTGGTCACGTCACGATTCGCACCCGCGCCGTCTGGGAATCTGCCACTCTTGGGCGTTCCCCATCGGCGCCAGCGCGAATCGTGACGTAACCGGCCCCCTCCTTGCCCTCACCAAGCCACCCCCGGTCCACGCTTAGGAGGCAACTACTGGGAGGTGTTCATCGGAAGGATTAAGGAGGATTAAGCCCCATTGGGGGGCTATTACGCTAGAAAAGGCCTCGGATCAAGCGGGATTAAGCCGGATTGAACGGGATTAAGCCGGATTAAGCTGGATCAAGCGGGATAAAGCCGGATTGGGCCGGACTTCGGACCAGGGCGAAAACAGAATTTGACCTCCCAAGAGTTGCATCCGAACGCCCGTGATCGCCAAAGGAACACAAAAGGTCTCCACCAGGGCTGAACCGAAACGGTGTTTTCGTTTTCGTTTTGGTGTCGTTCTCCCTCGCTTTCGTCTCGAACCCACCTCTACCGCAGAACGACGCCGAAACGAAAACGGCCCACGAAATCGCCAAAAACACCGGTTAGGTCCAGCCCTGGGTCTCCACAGAGGCGGGCCTGCGCGTCTTTTGCCTGCCGAGCAAGCGAGGCGCCCTGCTGTCCCGCTCTCTCCCGCGGCCGAGGCCGACCGAGGAGCTGCCCAGCAAAGGCCGCTAGCCGCTGCCAGAGAAGACGGGGAAGCCGCTCGCGCCGGCACCTTGGCGGCGGGGAACAGATGATCGACGCACCGCAACAATCACCGTCGAGTTGGAGGCCTGGAAATTGGCACCAACACCAGCACAGGGGGTTGCCTCCACAGGGGGAAGATGATCCTAGATTTCGGTGTTGGTGGTACTATTTCGGCCACCTTGGAAGCCAGAATACTACCACCATCGCTCGGATCGGAATCTTCTTCCCTCGGTGGAGGCACTCCGCCGATATTGGTGTTGGTGTCAACCTCTAGGCCTGCGATCGAGACCAAGAAGAACGGCCCCGACGTCACATCCCTCGCGGCCTCCTCCCGTGCTCGTCGCTGCGCCTGCCACCTCCAAGCTGCCCGCGCGGCCGGGAGGGTGTTGGGGCCTCTTTTCGCAGACTGAGTCGGGCTTCCTGGGGGCCTCATGGGGCCTCTTGGGGCTGCTCAGGGCCATCGTGGGGCGGAGGGTTCGAAATGTCCGTTCGGGCTTGGGGCCGTCTTCAGGGAACTCTCGGGCCGTCTTGGGGCCTCTGTCAGAGTCGGATCGATTCTCATGACATGTAGCTGCAATAAGCTACGGTTCAGGAAGGATTTTTTTTCTCAGAGAGAAGCGGCGGCTGGAGCTGCTCGAGCGGGGCCGCCCTCGCGAAACCGACCGCGTGCACCGAGCCCCCGTATTGCAATCCCTTACAAGAGGCGGGCGGGCTTCTGATCAGCGCCCTCCCCCCCATACATCGAACGAGCGAACGCCACTACAGCGAAGGCTGTCCCAACTACAGGAATGGGCGTGTAGCGCCGCAGCGCTGTGCCGATTCTCGACGAAACCCTTTTGTAGATGATGGATGTCGTTCACTAAAGATGTCACAAATGCTGACTCGTTGGAGACGCGATAGGGAACGTAATGGGCCGCGAAATGTTCTGGACGCCCCTGGCAATTTCGTGTGATTTGTCATCTGCAGCAGCGGGATGAACGCCCCTGCCAACCCGCAACGTCGCCCCATTCTCGGGCGATCCAGCTCGCTGGCGGCAGCTGACAAGCACGGGTGGCCAAAGAACGATGCAGGGATACGAACTTGCCCGCGCAACATTGCCTGCTGGAAGTTGCCCAGACAAAATTGTGCGTACGAGCTGGCCCCAGGGAGTTGCCACACAGAATGGCCGCACGAGAAGGCACCCAACTTTGTTGTCTCAGAATGGATTGCAACGTCATTTCTTGTCGCATTTCGTGCCACATTTCGTGCAGCAATTCGTTGTTCATGTCGTGCCCGTCGCGCAACGGAGGCTTTGTTTCGCGCGGGGAAATGTTGTATTCGCGCGGGGACTTTTTGCTGTGCTCGTGCGGCCGCGCTGTCGCTTTCGTGCAGGAGTGGAACACAGGCCAATAACCAGGGGATCAAAACAACGCGCGGCAAGCGGCCCCCTTCATGTTCGCCAGCGCCACCCGCGTGGTCAAAGCAACCCACCTTTTCGCTACCAAGGATTGGACACTCATGTCAGATAGTGTATCGATTCTGTGGCGCTTGAAAACCGTGTCGTCGTCACGCAAATTTGGGGGCCTCGGGGACGCCTCACGGAGCCGTCAGTAACATGACGAGGCACGAGACCCTATCAGAAATTTGACGCGAAGTCCCGCTGCAAACATTCCACTAAAACCGGACCGTCAAAACTCGGGACGAGCCCGCCAGAGAGCATCGGCTAACCCGAGTTCTGGCGAACTGGAGTCTCACGTTTCCTAAATGGCATGAGCAAGAAATTTCGGATGTCCCCGCGGACGTCTTGGATCTGCGCTGGACCTCCCCCGGCGGCGACCCTAGCGCCGCCGCTGGCGCGCCTCGCGCGCTGGCGAGGGGGGCCCGCGCGGATCTCCCAAACCGTTCGGTTTACAGTCGACCCGTATCACAAGGACGAGCGATAGGGATGCAAGGGCCTCGGAAGGCCGTTTCGCAGCTTTTCGAGCGGGGCGCGGCCCACGAAAGAGGCCAAGGAATGGCACCCTGGGGAACCTTGCCGATACTCACTATGCGGGTTGACGGCGTGCAGTGTGCCCGCCTCTGGCCTTCAGCCTCCCGCCCCGCTGGGCGCGCCGCCGAAGGCGGGGTGTGTGGAACGGGCAGCCTCGGCGCCGCTCCAAGAAATCCGATCCGCGCAGATCTCCAAAAACTTTCTGCTTGTGCAGTGCGTGCTCTCCTTTGGGCCTCAGCAGGTAGCAACATGTGAACCTTACCCCCACCCCCCACGATCTCTGAAGGGGGGTGGGGGTAGGGTTCACATGTGGTCACCGACTCAATCTCCCGCTCCGCTGGGCGCGCCGCCAAAAGGGGGTTCTACGGGCAGCTTCCCTTACAGATGCATCCTGGCTCAGGGAAGCAGGGGTGCCTCCAGACCTTACCCTGACGCAGTCCGCGCGGGGCCCGCAGGAAAGCAGCAGATAACATCGACGGCTGACGCTGATGCCGACGATCAGCGTTGTTAATTAGCACGGCCACGATAGGGGACACGGACGCAGAGGCGAGGGTCTTGAGCTCAGGCGCGGCTCACGATGGCATCGGATTCAGCAGGCGCTCCGACCGCATCTTCACAGCGGAGACTCTGGACCCGCGGGAACACAATATATGGAAGCAGTGTGGGCCAAGGCGAGGCCGCTCGGAAGCAACCCCCAGGCGCAGGACATGGGACCACTGCTCTTTACGTTTCTCGACGGCCTGGCGCAGGCCATGTTCAATGAAAACGATGTGGACGGCGACCTGGCCGCGGACGGCGGAGAGCAGCTCATATATGCCAGCGTCTCGATCGACGATGCCCAGGCAGCGAGCCTGCAGACAGGATGGCGGAGGCGCTCGACGCGATCTACGACCAGAAGTGGGAGAACAACGAAAGGGACACAAACTACATCGGGAGAGCGCTGCAGGTGTTCGCGAGAGCGCAACAGGTGGGAGTCGGGTGCCCAGAAGAGGCTCAGGGCCACGCGCTGCTGCGCGGTGCACGGCTTGAGCCGACGGATCGGGCAGTAATGCTGGCAGCAGCTCAGAGGTCGTGAAAGATCAGAAGACTACCAGCAGCGCTGCGAACGACGTACCGCATGGGCAGGAAGGTCGGCAACGGCAGTAAGGGCCAGGCTCGACGAAGTGAGGAAGTGCTCGACTTACTTCAAATGCCGGAAGCTGGGCCGCTTCTCGAAGAACTGCCCAGAGCCGAGGCGGAAGCCGCACTCCAACGACGGCGTCCAACACAACGGGACCGGCTCGATCTGTGCGGTTCTGTTCGGCCTTTTCGGTGGACTTGGACTTGGACGGGCTCCCAGTTCGCCCAAACGGGCGGCCGCGCGAGGGGCTGGGAGGTGGCGCCGGGGCGCCGCTCATTCGTTCACTTCTCGATGGTGTTCTGGACCCTCTTCCGTGAAGAGTCGGAAGTGCAGTGGGATGTGATTCAGGAGACCCTGGAGGCGAGTCGCATGAGGAAACTGTCCGTGGTGCCTACCGCTTGAAGAAGTGCCCGAGTCACCTGCCAAGGAATGCCGGAGACAGCGAGCAAGACAGTGAACTTCACCATTGACGATGGCCAGGGCTGTCTCGACAGTGGCTGCTCGAAGGGCATCGTGTGGGAGGATACCCTCGATGTGCAAAAGCAGCGGTGGTGCGATGCAGGGAGAAGCGAGGAGGACTTCACGTACCAGACGGACAAGACGGCTACGGTGCTCAGGCTTGGCGACAGCGGCTCCCAGAGGTCAAACAGGAAGGTGTGAATACCGCAGTGGATTGGCTACAAGCTGCTGGGCATGATCCCAATGCTCCTGTCGAAGCGATGAGTGAAGGACATCGGAGGTCACCTGAAGTTCGAGAAGGACGAGATCGAGTACGCGGCAATCGAGCAGAAGGCGCAACTTCCAACGAATGGTGGTGAAACAGATGTGCACGACGTGCTGAAGATGTGTAAGCCCCCGCCGTGTGCCAGCGTCAAGAAGGTGCTTGACTGGAGGACGAGGGACGTGCACTCGCGACTGAAGAGGCCGGACGGCTCGAGCGGTCGGAACTCAAATTGTCGCTGCAGGACGGCTCGAAGGGTCAGGACCTCAGGTCGTCGACAAGATTGCCGGACGGCTCGAAGGGTTGGAACCTGATATCGCCGACAAGGTTGTCGGACGCACGAATGGTCGGGACCAGAGGTAGAGCATGTGGCGATGACCAATGCCCGAGGTGAATCCCGTGGTGTTGACCAAGGAGCAGCGGAGGAGCCTAGAGGCCATGGCGGCTGGAGCGCGTGTGGAGAAACGGAGCGACATTTGAATCCTGGAAGAATTCTCACCGCTGAGTGGCACAGGCGAGGGCGGCCGCAGGAGCTACGAATCTTGGCACATTCGACCTGAAGACCAGTTGGGATCTTGACAAGAGCAGAGTGATGACGGAGATCGAAATGATCGTGGAGCGAGAAAGGCCATGGTTCATCACGTTGTCGCCCGCATGCAAGATGCTGTCCAACCTCCAAAACCTCAACAAAATTCCCAAAGACATGGGCAAATGGATCGAACAGTACAAGAAGGTGACCGGTTACGTCAGGTGGTGCATCAAGCTGGCCAATAGGCAGATGAAGCTCTGCAGCGTCATTTTCTCACCGAGGCGCCCCTGGGGGGAGGGGCATGGACGCTCGACAAGATGAAGGCATTCCTCACGATGTACAGGGAAGATCTCTACTTGATGAAGAGCGCCGGGTGCGCGCTGGGACTGAAGGAGGCGGACACGGGCAACAGGTTCGCCAAGAGGTGGCAGGTCCTGTCGAATGACAAGGTGCTCGCGTAGACTGTACAGGTTCTGTTTTAGGGAGGGCACGGGCATGTACATGCAATTGGCGTAGTGGAGAATGGGATGAAGAGGAGCAAATTCACGGACACGTATCCGAGCCCGCTGCTGGTGCGCATCGTGCAGGGAGAGCTGGCAGCTTGGGACACACGCAGGACGGTGAAGGTACTGGCGGCGTCAGCGGAGAAGATTGACGTGACGAAGCTGACCGAGAACAACATCAAGGTGGCGGTGATGAGGCTGCACAAGGACCTCGGCCACAGCGGCGGATACGCTAGTCAGGGTCCTGCGCAGTGGTGGTGCGTGCGACAAGGCGCTCGAGCTGGCGAGGCAAATTGTGTGCGACGTCTGCTATCAGCATGTGCGGCCCATGGTCCTGCAGCGGGCGGCGCCGAGCAAGGACCGACCCGCACTGCACATGGTGTCGCTCGATGTCAAGCACCTGCCAGGATAGAAGGTGTCCCAGTGACGGTGAAGGGCCTCAACTTAGTCTACGTGAGCCCTTCTCCGAGAAGGAGACATCGCAACTGGATGTGGGTGCAACCCTACTACGCCCCATGTCAAATGAAAGTGGACTCGGGGACCACGAGCCTGGGACCCGGCATGATGGACAGCTTCGAGAAGGATGGTACGACGGTGGTGGACCGAGCGGCGGGCGACGCCTGGGAGCGAAACGCCGAAGCGTAGGTGCACGGTCAGCGGTTCGAGCGGATCCTCAAGAAGGCCATCGACGACCAGCAGATCACGGCGAAGGATGAATGGCTCGAGGCGGTCGCGGCCATCGGCAAGGCCAAGAACTGGCTGACGAGGAGGTCGGGCTATCCCCCATCCAATGGGTCTTCGGCCAGCAGCCCCCGCTTTCAGAGGCGCTGCAGCCCGAGGGCAACTCGGCGATCGTGAACTCGGCGGTGATGCACGACGAGGAACTCGCACGGCGAGTAGCCGTGAGGCAGGCAGCACGGATGACGACGGTAGCGCTGAAGGAGACCGGGCGATGCGCGCGGCACTAACTGCCAGGCCACGGGTGCGAAATATGTTCAAGGCGGGCGACTTCGTGGCGTTCTGGACAAGGGGCAAGGGCAATTCGAAAAAAAGGCATCCAGGGCGAGATGGTGAGGACTGGCACGAGTCGCCACGCGACAGGCGACTGCATGACAACCGAATCATCGCGTTCGGCGGCCAGTGGCTGCTGGCGGCCCCGCGCCAGCTACGACCAGAGAGGAGATCGTCGCCTGGGACCTGGATGAGAATCTCCTGTCGCAGGAGGCGATGGCGAAGGCGCTGGGCAGAGCGAGGCAACCAAAACAGGCCGACGTCACGGAGAAGGAGATCCCACCGGAGGCGGAGATCACCTGCGACGTGGAGGTGGAGCAGCCGGGCCAAGCAGCCAAAGGCAGGAACCAAACGAGATAGGGCTGTTCAGTAAATACCCAGGGGTGGTTCATCGGGGGCGGCCAATGAGGGGGGCGTCCAGGATGGGAAGGTGCAAATCATGGCCGGCGGCATGTGCGCGGCCAAACGGGGGCGCCAGGGACGTAATGAAATAAGAAGAGGCGCCATGAATCTCGGGAGATCTCATGGCCCCCGCCATGATATCCACCCCCCTAATCATTACCCCCTGTGTGCCGCCCCCGATCGATAAGCACCCAGGGGTGGTTCAGAAACGCCAGTTATGGGTAGGAGGAGTCGGCTTGCGGGGGGGGTCGGGCGCGCGGGAGGCGGGCGGAAGCGTCGCTGGCGCCCCGCGCCCCCGGGGGCCTCCATGTAAGATTTCCCAGGCTGCGCCAGGCGCGCACGCGTTACTTGCAGGCGCGCTCGCATTCGCGCAAGCGCATCCCAAGAAACTGTGATTTGGATCGGAACCGGGCGACAACGGGCATGGGGCGCCTGTCAAGGCTGCTTCTGGGAGCGATTGCTGCTGGCTCGACGCGCGCGATATGCATGTAACGACTTTTGGAGGACGGGCGCTGCGCCGTCCAATCCAACGCGGGAATGGCGCGGCCCGGGGCGCGCGGCCGTCGCGGCACACGGCGGTCGACGTGACCGCAAGGGGCGCGCGATCCGCCGCGCGGCATTTGCGGGCCATTCGGCCGACGCTGCCGGGTCGCCCTCAAACAGCCCGCCAGGAATACGCAAATGCGCAATGCGCCAGCGCGCCGCCAGGATATCGCCCTGAAAACAACCTGTTCACTCTGAACGCCGACTGCGCGCCTCGCTGAACCAGCGAAGTCGCGCGGCGCGCCCGCGCCGCGGACCCGCCGCAATGAACTCGCGGGAAAAGGCCTCTCTCCATGGGTTCTGGCACCGATTCTGGCCTACTTTGAAGGGAAACCGGGACACACAAATAAATACACACAAATAGAGATATCCCCTACATATTCCAATATTTTCGGTGTTTTTGTCTTCCCCCCACTTCCCATATTTTCCCATATTTTCCTGGGACGCGACGATTAATTGTGTCTGTGTGTTTTTTCCCTCCTGATACTTCCCCGTTCTGGCCGATTCTGGTTCCATCGCCGATTCCTTCTTTGATTCCGTATTGATTTCGTACTGATTCTTTTGATTCCGCTAGAATCAGGGGTCGCAGTTGTGCCGATTCTGTTTTGATTCTGTACTGATTCCGTACTGATTCCTTTGATTCCCCTGTGCCCCGGGGGCCATCAGGCCGCGGCCCGAGCTCCCGCCTCGGCGGCATGGTTTTTCCATGAGCGCGGAAAAGTTTTGAAGGGGAGGGGGGCGGGGGGGGGGGCGGGGCGATTTTTTGGGCGCATCGGGCGGCCGAGCCACAGATTTCCGGGCCCAGTGCGCGCGCCCAACCTGGCAGGCGCGAGCGCGCGCGCGAGTTCTCGACCGTCGGCGCATCTGTAAGTTCATGCCCCGCCCCGCGCGCGGGAATGGAAACTTGCGTTGCGGTTTCCCATTGAACGCGCGGCCGTCGCCCCCCATGCTGCTCAGCGCGCAAAGCGCGCGAGCAGCATGGGGGGCTTTGCGTTCTCGCATGAGAAGTGCGCGGAACCGAACCGAACGGTCGGCGGCGCCCGCTCCTGCGCCGCGCGCGAGGCCATCGCGTCAGCGCGGGAGGCTACAAGGGCCTGGGCCGTCGCCCTGGGGCGCGGGCACAGCGCGAGGCCCGCGCGGGTCTCTCGCGCCAAACATGCGCAACAAGGTCGGCCCGCCCGCCGGCTGGCGCTCGCGGGCGACGCGACGCCGGCGCCGACTGCGAGGCCGACTGGGCCCGGAGGATTCCTGAGAGTCCCGGGAAGGGGCAGCGGGCCGCGATGGAATCGGCGCGGTCGTTGGCGCCCCCCCCGCGCCCGCCCCCCCCTGCCAGCCGACTCCTCCTAGTTATGGGGGCCGGGATTCTTCTTTCCTCCCTTAGGAGCAGGACGGGGGACGAGACGGGCGCCCACAACTTGAGCCTGTTTTTTTTAGACTCTGGCAAGTTTACTTGCATGGACGGGGGGGGGGCTGAGCCTGAAGCAAGCCGCGGAAATCACGCAAGTCGAAAGGCACTTGCACGCTAGTATTCGCTTGAAGAGGGGCAGGGGGGGGGGGGGGGGGGGGGGGGGGGGGGCGAACGCCATGCAAGTAAACTTGCCTGAATCCAAAAAAACAAGCTCCTACAGGGCCCACCGGGCCTCACGATGGGCGCTCTGGAGGTCATCTTGGCCTCTCTGGACTACCTGCGTGCACCGCGGACCAGGACCACCTCTGGCAGCACACCGGGGGAGACTGAGGGAGGCCCACCTCCTCCTCCTCCACCTCCTCCCTCCCCCTCCATCCTCCTCCTCCCTCCCTCCTCCTTCTCCTCTTCCTCCTCCTCCTTCTCCTCCTCCTCCTCCTCTCTCTCCCTCCCCCTCCCTCCCTCCCTCCCTCCCTCCCTCCCTCCCTCCCTCCCTCCCTCCCTCCCTCCCTCCCTCCCTCCCCCTCCCTCCCCCTCCCCCCTCCCTCCCTCCCTCCCTCCCTCCCTCCCTCCTCTCCTCCTCCTCCTCTTCCCTCCATCCTCCTCCCCTCCTCCTCCTCCTCTCCTCCTCCTCCTCCTCCTCCTCCTCCTCCTCCTCTCCTCCTCCTGCATCGTGCACCTGACGGAGCCCCTCGGCTCCAGCAGGGCTGGCTGCACCCTGGACACACAGAGCCGCCAGGCCGTGGGCTCCTCTTGTGGGCCAGCGGGCCCGACACGCTGGCTCCAGAGGCTCCAAGTCGGCCGCCCCGATGCGTCCACGACGCCGGAGATCGTCGAAGGCCCAAAAGCCCGTGGACCCCGCAGGACCTCGTCGAATGAAACCGTATGGGGCACAAGATCAGCGAAAAACAGTGCAGTTCCCAACCTGCCCTCCTCTCCGCTCCCCTCGCCTCCCCTCCCCTCCCCTCCCCTCCTCTCCTCTACTATCCTGTCCTGCTTCTCCTCATCCGTCCTCCCTCTGCCCTCCATCGTACCGACCATGCCCCCTCCCTCATCCTCAACCTCCGTCTCCTCCTCCTCCTCCTCCTCCTCCTCCTCCTCCTCTTCCTCCTTCTCCTCCCCTCTGCCCCCAACATTTCATCTGCCCCCCTATCCCTCTCCTCTCCTGACATCCTCGCCGACAGGAACGCAAACCCAAGCATGCCCCCCCACTCTCATCCCACCACGCGAGGGCGACATGCCAGGCAACAACGCGACGGCGGCGGCAAAGGAGACGAACACGACGACGACGACAACGAGAACGACGGGCACGACAAGCGATGAAGAAGGCGCGGCGGCGACGACCACGAGGACGGGGGGAGGGAACCTTGACGAGGACGGCGACGAGGCGAACAACGCCGGCGACGACGGACACCAAGGACCCGAACGAGCCGAAACGAGGTCGACGACGGCGACGACGGCGACGACGACGGCGACCCTTCGGCGCAAGCCGTGCGCGGCCCGCCCCCGCCGAGAGGGTCCGAGAGGGGCTCCGCGGCGGCCCGCCTTCTCCGCCGGCCTCGGGGGCCTCGTCCAGCTGCTCCCCCTGGGCGGACGTACAGTCAACCAGTACACGTCGGTCGGAAGAAGTAGGTAAAAACATAAAGTAGGAAGGCGGACAAAGTGGACTGGGTCCAGCAAAAAAAAAAGTCGATTCTTGAAGTAGGAAGGCGCTTGAAATAGACCGGGATCTGGAAATCCAAAAACTACCTACTTTCAACGACTGGCGTGTATAGTAAGGATGCGCGATAAGGATGCAAGGGCCTTGGACGCCCATTTCGAAGCTTGTCGAGCGAGGCGCGGCCAGCGAAAGCGGCGAAGGATGGACCCAGGAGGCAAGGATGCAGGGGTACCCTTGGGAGGGATGCCTATTGACTGTAGGAGGCAACTCGTGGGAGGTTTTCGTGAGAACGAGCAGTCCCGAACTGTTGAGCTTCATTCGGGGGGCATTCGGCCAGATTCAGCCAACTCCAGCTTGGGACAAAGCCGGCTTTAGCAAGGCTACGTAAGTGGGCTTACGCGGAATTCTGCAGAATCATGCCGCAAAGGTTATGCCAGCGCCGACGCTGAAATTACCTCCCAAAATTGCATGCTAACAAGAGGGGGCCGACGAGGCGACGGCGATTCATCGTGGACAAAAGCGAAAATATCAATACCCGCGGCCCTGCGGGACTGCCCCCATGGCCGCGGCCCTGCGGGACTGCCCATCGCAGATGCCCCGCACGGAACGTATTCATGCGACCGCGTGTCCGCGGGATCGCGCCACGGAATCCTAACCGCGAGGGAGCGGATACGGAGATCCGCCACCGTGCCCCTGAGGCACGAGGTAGAGTAGCAGGCCCCTTGCTCCACCTCTGAGTCCCAGTCCTCACGCGGAGGACCTCTGGAGTAGGAGGAGGAGGAGGAGGAGGAGGAGGAGGAGGAGGAGGAGGAGGAGGAGGAGGAGAAGGAGTCCTCCTCCTTCTCCTCCTCCTTGCTCCCTTGCCCCAACCTCTGGAGTAGCAGGCCCCTTGCTCAAGCCTGAGGACTCCTCACGGGGCCCGAACCCCCAATTTGCAAATCTCCTGGGGCGTCCCGCGTGCCCCCTGGGGCGCGTCGAGTCTTGTCGCATACCGTGCTCGGGCCAAAGAGGGCTCCAAGGCGGGCCAAAGAGGGCCCAAGCGCCCCCCAAGACGGTCCAAGAGGGCACCGGATCGCCGAGCGATCAGTCCGAGACGCCCAGGATGGCCTCAAGACGGCCCAAGATGCACCCAAGACGCTCCAAGAGGCTTTTTTTGTCCTACGACATGGATGGAAGGGGTCAAACCAGAACGAACGCTGGGACAGCCCGGCTGTAGCCCGGGGCCTCGGCCGGATTGCACCAGTGCTATCGCGAGGACTTCAAAAACTATGCGCGCTGGCGGCGCATTCGCGCAAACGCCGGGAAGGAGAGAAGGGGAGGGGACGAGAAAAGCAGGAGAAGGAGGGAGAGGAGGGAGAAAGCCGCAGAACTAGGGCAGGAAACGAAAAAGGCGGGCGCAAGCGCCCAGCTCCAAGAGGCCTCCAAGAGGCCTCCCATGAGGGCCAACGAGGCAAACCTCATTGATTGCTCTTAGGTGTTTAAGACGGCCCAAGAGGCCCCCAAGATCGCCCCAAGACGGCCCGTGAGGCCTGCACCAGGGCCCCCATACGGCCCAAAGGGCCCCAAACAGCCCAAGAGGCCTCCAAGACTGGCCAAGAGGTCCCCAAGACGCCCAAGACGGCTTCAACAGGGGGCCAAGACGGAGGACCTGAACGGACAGTTCGAGCGCACGGCCCTGAAAGGCTCTGAGAAGGCCCCAAGAGGCCTCGAGAGGAGACAAGAGGCCGCCAGGAAGCCCCAAGAGGCCTCCAAGAGGCTCCCAAGAGGCCACGAAGAGACTCCCAGGAGGCGTTAAAGCTGTCCCCAAGAAGCCCCAGAGGGCGCTCCGAAGAGACCACTAGAATCATCCCTGAGGAGTCTGACCCACGACCCAAGCACAATGGCGGGATGTGACAAAGACCATTAGATGTTCGCCGCTTGTGAATCGGGGAAGCTGAACTTAGAAGGCAACTACTGGGAGGTTTCGTCGGATAGATTAAGAAGGATTAAGCCCCATTTGGGAGCTGTTGCGCTGGAAAGGGCCTCGGACCAAGCAGGATTAAGCTAGATTAAGCCAGACTCAGCGGGATTAGGCTGGATTAAGCGGGATGTCGGACCGGGGCGAAAACAGAAGTTGACCTCCCAGAAGTTGAAGTGGAAGCGCCATCCACCCGAAACCGTCCGCTCTGTTCTCGGCGGCCCGCCGCGGCGCCGCGCACGGGCCCCGAACAGCCACTGCGGTCGCGAGGCGCTGGCCGCCTCTCCGGCTACCTTTCTGGCTACCAGGCCTCGGCGCTGGGCCTGCGATGGCCTGGGAATGCAGCCGGACTTCATTGGAGAGGACACGCGAGAGGACACAAGACCCTTCCGAAGGCCACATCGCCATTGGAGTGTAAGAAGCCATGTGTCGCGAGGCACAGGGCACAAGGGTACCCTTGAGCTGGCAGGGTCGACCTACTAGTCCGGGCCGACTGTGAGCCTGCGATGGCCGTCGGTCCAGCGCCGCTGGCTCTCCGCCCGGTGCCGCCGCCCTCCTCGCCATCGCAAATCCTTGTCGCCCCTTGGCCTCGTCGCGACGATGCTGCCTGTGCCGCGCAGCGCTGCTGGCTTGGGACGGGATGTCCACTGCAGGCGCCAGCGGTTCGGCGAACACTGCCATTCTGATGGTGTCGTCCGCCACCCACGTCTCTCCGCCTCCCTGGCGATCCCTGTCCCGCTCCATGGCCCCATCCGCGCCTCCACGGTGCCAAACCTCTGGCGAGCCTCGCTGCCAGCCCCCCCAGCACGCAGCGGTGCCCGAACAGCGGAAGGGTCGGCAGACTGACCCAGGCCGTGCCACAGGCCATCACTATGGCGCTGGCCTCGACCATTGATCGTTTCCGGACGAAGGCCCGCCAAACTCCTCTCGCCTCTTCACTTAGGAGGCAACTGCTGGAAGTTTTTCGTCGGAGGGATTAAAAAGGATTAAGCCTCATTTGGGGGCTGTTACGCCGGAGTGGGCCTCGGATCAAGCCGGATTAAACAGGATTGCGTGGGTTGGGCATTGTACCCATTCTTTCCGTACCCATTTCGGGCGTCCAAATCCCAAGAGTTGCATCCGAATCTTCAATGACTCGGAACTTGTTTTTGTGAATCCCCGCCTCCGCGAAACGGTTGAGCTGCCTGCTGCAGCCTGTCGGCCAGCCCTTCTCCCGAGCGACCCCGGACAGCAGCAGCTCGCCGCCTGACAGGCTGCGCTGCAGCAGCGCCACGGTGATGGGCGCCTTTCTGCGGCCCCGTGTTTTTGTTCTTGCTCATGGGGACCATGTTCTGGCCATCGCTCGGACGTCCCTGTGTTTTTTTCGGTGTCGTGCGTGTTTTGTTCGACAGATGGTCGAGGATACTCCTCGAAGGTCCTCGCCGAGAATAACATGCACACGTCCGAGCGATGCCAAGTGTTCGAAGGAGAGAGAACACTGACCTCGTTGCATCTTAGCAAAATGAGCGAAACTTCTCAACTGCCCTCGAGGCTGTTCCCCGAGGAGGCTGATCCTACGAAGCCGACGCACACTGCTAAAGGATGCGGTCCACAGTCGGCCAGATGCCGCACGGACCCCGCCAGCACGAGCCCGATGCACGCAGCACCCCGAAGGCTCGGCTGACCTTCGGTATTGAAGGGGTCCTGGGACGCTCAGGATTCCCCATATGTTTCAATATTTTCTGGGTTTTTGGCTTCCCCCCCACTTGCCACATTGTCCTGGGGATCGACGATTAATTGTGTCTGTATTTTTCCCCCTCCTGAGGTATGTGGACCCCTGCCTGAGCTGGCACCTTTACCACTCGTGCTTAGGATGCTGACGCTGTTTGGTCGCATTATCCGAGCGAGGGGGCCGAGCAGTCTTAGATCACCCCTGGGTGCGTGCCAGAACACAGCTTCCGCGGTGAGGGTGATTATTCCTGTTTGATGTTTGCTTGTTGCTGTCGTCATCCTCGCCGGCAACCCGCCCACGACCCACCCGCCACCTGCCAACGACCCACTCGCGACGCGCCCGCGACACACCCACGACCCGCCCGCGACCCGCCGGCGACCCGTCCGCGACCCACTCGCGACCAGCCCGACCGGGGCGACGACTGAAGGCGCCGGCTCCCCCCGCTCCCCCTCCCCCGCCCGCCCTTCCCCAGCACGCGCGCCTAACCAGCGGGGCCTGGTGGCTCACACCCCGCGGCCGTGCTTCCCCCGTTGCCGCCTGCTTGCCTGCCTGCTTGCGTCCTGCCCCTCCCCCTCCCTCTCCTCCTCCTCCCTCTGCTTCCTCCTCCTCTTTTCTCTTCTCCTGGGCCCGGAGGCCGCGTGCAGGCGCGATGCCTCCTCCTCCTCCTGCTTCCCGCCCCCCTTCCCCCCTCCTTGTGATGCGTTTGTTTTGGCGGCGCAGATGGCTGGCGGGGTGCGGCAAGGCAATGCGCTCCCAGCCCCAGGCCGCTCGACGTAGGCGTTCGCTCGCCTCCCTCCCTCGTCGTCGCCTCCTCCTTTTCCTCGGCCTTCCCCGTAACGAGTGCAGGATGCTGCCGAGGAGGACGTTGCTCTCCGCAGGCGGGCGCTTGACTCAGGCGCCTAGTCGGGGCATCCCGACTCTTTGGGAGCACGATGCGCCGTGAAATTTCATTACCTTGCCCGCGCTGTTCAAAGTCTTCCGGCAGTCCAGCCTTCAGTTTTGCACAAGGTGCGAGATCAGTTCTCCGCTTGCAAGGCGTAGGATTGCCCCAGCATTGCCGTACATAGCAGTAGCATGGCCCCTGGGCAAGGATGAAGATCTTGCCCCAGAGTTCGGGAGAGTGGTGCTGACCACGACATTGGGAACTGGAACTGGCGCAGGGCAGAGGTCAAAGCCTCGCAGACTGCCTACGAAACCGCCGCTCCCTCGCTCGTATATGCAACAGCGGAGGGCCTTGGTACTTGTCATCGACCTCGT